TGAATCTGAATCTGAAGATCTATATGAAGTCTGAAAAATTTTCCAGAGGGATGACAGATGCATTGACAACATAGTGTGTGTAAATGTATCTACAGTCCATATGTATGCGAATGTCCAAATCTACAGTCTTCAACATATTTTTAAGAGAAATCCTTAGCAGAAATAGAAAGTGTGACAGTCTAAAACTTATCACACCAAAGATCAAAGCAGCAAATGAAGCATAAGATGCCAAAACTTCTCCTTACCTCTAAATCCTGCTAAATTAGAAAAATAGTTAATATACTCCGTCCATTCTCTTACTTTAGACTCTAGCCAGATGCCTGTTCATCGGGCAGATTTAACTTTAACTTGTTTTTATTCTTTCTTAAACAGGTCACTGAGGCTCCAGACTGAAACAAAGTGAACATTTGCATATTAATGAAATTCAGTTTTTGCTGTCCCACAGGTATACTTTGACCAATAGGTATTTGTTCCAGCTTGATTTGTATTCAAAAAGTCACATTAGCATTAGCTACACAAGGAGGCCTTGGCTTGCAATAAAAGTCACACTGTCAAAACAGCACACACACTAACACACACACTCAAATGCGCGCACAAGTAGAAGCGTAAGTGTGACTTCCATGCACGGACACGCACTCACATTTAAAAGTAATTGAGGATTCTGTCCTTTGCTTCGTCCCTCTCTGACATTTCTTTGCCTTTTTTACAATGCAGTGAGCAATAAACAACAGAAAAAGTGATTACACTTTGATAACTTAACTTGAATAATTCATCTATTGACTCTTGTCAAGGGTGGAAGCTCTTTTACAGAAACAAAATGTGACGTAGTACATCAGCTTTTCATTATCTTTTTCTGTTTTATATTAAGCAGAACCACAGAGTGACAAAGCTGTACAGCACAGAAGGGAAAAAAACAGATGTACAACTTTGTCAAGTGTGTAAAAAAAACCCTGTGAGCTCAGCTGCCTTCAAATGGGGTTGTGTTTACCATGTACCAAGAAAAGAGCCCATGTGAAGGCCCGCCTCTTGTGCTATTCACAACTTCCGGAGTGGAAATTTTCTGAAAGCTCACAAGTTTACGAGTTTGTGTAGACAACTACCACTTTGTAACGAGGTCACGAGTTCCATTGAGTCGGGCTAGAAGGTCTAAAATGAAGTCTCACCTGTGACTGGTGCTCCTCACTCTTGTACACACCCTGCACCTGCAGCAGGTTCTTGGCCACGCCCACACATGGCAGCCCTGACAGCACTCCGAGATGACACGCCAGGCCGAACTCTGCAGGGTCCGAACGGTGCCAATGTCAAATCTAGACCGAAACCAAGCTCAATAGTATTGACTTTGTGAACATAATAAATCAATATCTTGTGACTGCATGATGACAGCCTAACAAAAGAGACACTAGTGTAGGTGGACTGTAGATTTGCCAAACTGCTACAAAGACGTAACAAAATAAAAGTAGCTAAAAGTAGCTAGCTGTGTGACTACAAGGTTAGAAAAAAAAATTTGATTCATCTTCGACTTTTATTGTGTTATTGTCTCTTTTTTAGCAAACAGAAAGAAATGGAAATGACTTCAGAGACGCTGGATAATTTCCGTGATATTATGTGCATCATTATCGCAATATCAATATGTCATATATCTGATGAGGAATGCAGCCGTTATTAATGTTATTAATTACTTTTCTTGCCATGAAAAAATGTTTGTTGTTAAAAAAAGATCTATTGCATTTTTAGGTCTATCACTTAACACTCCCTGCCATAAATAAAAAAGCATCGACCAGCTTGGATTACCTCTGTAGTGGAAGAGGCCATTTCCATCCACAAACACCACCTGTTGAGTGGGAACACAACACATACAGAACTGAAATGAATTTCCCTGTAGTACAAAATAAAGCTACAGCTGATTAACAGTGGAGCAGAGGCATTGTTAATGTTATTAGTTCCACCTGTGCTTTTCCTGATAGATCAAGTTAGAATGCCAGCTGTGAAACCTTTTTGCTCCTTACCTATGACCCCAGCTGCTACCACTGTGTACAATGTCTTTATCCCGAGCTTCAAAAGTTACAGTTAGTAAGAGGCAAGGTCCTCAAACTGATATTCTTACTCTTCCAGCTCCAACGCACGCCAATGAATTCTTGAAGCCAAAGGTGACTCTACAAACATATTTCAGCATTGAATCATAAGTGACCGGGAATAAGTCACTTCAAAGGTTGCAGATAAAGGGAGCGGTGACTGCGGCTGTCCAGGGCTAAATGTCAGTGGAAGTAAAACTGAGTGTGCGTGTGGTGGGTGAAAGTGTGTATGTGTGTGTTTCTGCACACCGGTGTGCATTGTGACAGAGAGACAGAGTGGGAGGAAGCGAGGGAGGCACGTGGGCTGCGACAAACAGAAGTGAGTGGGCGAGGATGAATTTGAGGCGATTTTTTGAGAAACAGTGAGAGAGGGACAACAAAGGAGCTTTGTCAAATAGCTGCAGTCCATTCAGTGGGTTTAATGTGCACGAAGTAAGGTGAGGTTTACACCATTTAAACAAGCACAATAATGTCAGTAAGCTGTTGGTTGTGTCAGTACACTAGTAGTAGTGTATGAGATACAAAGTACCTTGATGAAATAGTGAATATGACCCCATTAATTTTGTGTGTGCAGAAACTGACTTGAGGCAGAAGTTCGGGCTGGTTCTTCTCCAGCCGCTGGAGAGCATCCAGGAGGAAGGGGGTTTCTCTAAAAGCCAGGAAGCCAGCTATGTAGGGGGCTGTCAGGGTCACCATCTGACTGTCCTCATACAGCACCTGGGGAGAGGGGACGGGACAGAAACACTGCTTAATATGTCATTCTATTTTTTGAGCAACAAGAAGGCTGAGTGGTGTCTGGTGATCCAAACACACCTATTCGAGCCCTGTAAACTAGATGGCAGTACACTGATCCCCTAGCTGCTAATGGTCACACTAGGTAACCTTTATAAAAAAATAACTTTTTGTTATATTTGCTGAAACCTTAACTATATCCTGACAGTAGTAAGATAAGATAAGATAATATAGACTTTATTGATCCCACACTGGGGAAATTCACTTGTTACAGCAGCTCCAGATAGAACACAACACATAAGAAAAAATAAATACCTATTAAATAGCTAAATAGAATAGAAAAATGTCATTTCCTGAGCTTATAATCAGACAGCCAAATGAATAAGATTCCAGTCAGCACAGTCTGCTGGCTGAAAACAGCCTCAATAGAGCAAATGTTAGCATTATGCATGTAAAGTTGTAAGTATATGCCAAATGTCATACTATTCATAGTAGGAGTCTGAACTACATTCAGAGACACAATTTTGTTGTTTTGTTTCCAAATCACAAGTAAGTCTTTGCTGTGAAGTCCCCGGTGCAACTCCTGTGTTTCAAAGTCATTATGTGCCCATTAACAAATTGAATGCCATTTAAAAATTAAAAATAAATAAAAAATGATCAGGTATGCCTTTGTATGTAATTACTGAGACAGAATTACAATCATTGCTTATTTCTGAGATAAATGTTTTGAACATATTATAGTTTTAAAATCCAAATGTGGTTTTTAGGGATCAAACGCACCTTCCACTCCTACTTTCACAGTGTGTTGGCTGAGTGCATCAAACTGTGTCTGTTGCACACTCCAAGTTAAAAGTCCATGTGACGTCCTGAGTCATTGAAGTAAAAGACAAAATTGCAAGTTATTTTTGTTTTTTTAAGTCATCAGATTCTGATTCAAGTCCTGGTGTCTACAGTGCTGCTATTTGTCAGTATGGACGTGCATTTTGTAGATGTAGATGCTGATGCTGGAGTAAACAGAGAGCTGATTTCTGAATATGAAAGCCAGTCTGTTATAAAGTCCAGGTAAAAGGCTCTACAACAACAATTTTAAAATTAAACTCTCACTGGGTTCAAGATATTTTTCTAAAACCATCAACTGTTCCTCACAAGCTGCTGTGCTTCATCTGTCACGACTCTTTAACCTGCTTCAAAATCGTTTTCTGCTCACAATGAGAAGAAGCACCAAGGTCTTCGATGCTGTAACATCAGATAAAAAACACTATTCACCAAGGCCTACTGCAGTGGCTACAAATAAAGTATGCAGAAGCTTTTGTTTGTGAAGGTAAGCCTGGACACAAGGATACACTCAGCTATCAGAAATGTCAACTACCATTCAGGATATGACAATATTGTATTTTTAGCTTCATCGCCCTCTGATAAACAGTGGTGATAAAACATGGCTGAGTGTTATTGCCAAGAATTTCAACACCTAGAGTTCATGTTGAAAGGATATTCATTTATTTTATTTAAAAGTGTGTTGAGCTTCTGTCTGAGACTAGCTTATTTGAATGCAAACTGTACAATAAAACTACCACAGCAGTGGACACACTGTGGATCATGTTACCAGTATTACTTAGTGTCACAAATGGCCTTAGGTGGCAGTGTTGGAGTAAATTGAAAGCAAGCAGGGAACATAATCCCATTATTGGACAGCATTTCTGAGCAACATTTCATTAGCCTCGTTTGGTCCATGTATCAACAACACACGGTGACAAATGTCATTAATTATACTGTGTTATATAATGAGAGGTTGCCGGCAGCCCATGTTAATGCACAGATAAATAGTACAGAGGAGGAATGATTGTGAAAGGCTGTACAGAGAAGCAAATGAAATGAAAATTGGTGCTGCCAAGGTCTCGTCTGTAACAGCCGGTTTAACGAGACTCGACCTTGAGCTGTATTGTATATTAAACCTCGGTTCTCCTGTGTATTAATATTGCTTTTTATGCTTGGCAAGTCCGCTTTTAGTGCTTAGATTGACTTAAAAATGTTGTTGCATTAGATTAGACATACAGCACTTTTATGGGAACGAATATTAAAATTCAACAGACTTTTGAGAGGAGGCACAGGTTAAGTGATTAGAGGGCCGTTTTACAAAATGAATCGATAACACTGACAGAAGGTTGGAGAAATATTTCACAGGTAATTCATAATGAATCCCTACATGATACTAGGGCACATATGCGTTTAGCATTTCTGTAGCATAATATTACAACCACAGCTACTATGGCAGAAACATTTGTCTTGCTTCTGTATTGTTGATCCTCCTGGCCTCCTCGTACAATGATCCAAATACAACTTTAGACAGAAAAGAAAATGACTTAAAATATTGTAATATATATTAATAATACTATATTTAATATATGTTATAATTTCAGCAGCAGCAGGCAGCTATTTAAAGCTAAATAAAAAGTCACTGTATGCTTCTAGCTCAGAACCAAACAGCACATAGACTTATCACTAACTTTGTCTTTGTATCATAGTGGAGCATTAAGCAGCTAATAATGTTATTATTATTAAAAATATAAGCAACTGTCTGCTAACACATTTACCATCAACAATATAATAGTAATATGTGCGTTTGTTTGTTAAAAAGAAAAAAGGGAAAAAAAACACAAAATGGCAGATGAAAGTTACTCAGTTGTCACGGAGATAGCTCAGTTGTCATTACATAACTTAAGTTCATACTTAGTACAGTGAGCTATCTCACGGTAAGCTAATAAGTGTACCCTGAGTTAAGATATTTCTGTCAAACATCAGCTTCCAAGGTCAGTAATGAACTTTCACACTAGATTTTTAAACATCTTCCAGTGGTGTTACAGTTCGCCTCCAGTAAAATGTAGTGGATGCATCAAGTATGTATGGACAAAATATTATATTAGTTTATTGATTACTGCACTGTAAATATGTAATGTAAACACATCTGGCCAGTCCAGTTCAGCAAATAACAATAAGTGTTCCATTTTCAGCTTCTCATTTGTGTACAGGCACATTTACTGTTTTTTATGCACCTAGGCAATCATGGTTGAGTGTTATTATTTGTAAGAACAGAAAAAGAGTATCTGGCTCTATACTGAACGAGTAAATGTGTAATATGCCAGATTTTAAGGTTGTGTGCCCCGCTGTATGGAACGAAACTAACAACTTGAATAGAAAAACACTGCAGGACGTACAGTAATCCCCTTAAATATCATATCAAACAACAACTGGAAATAGACACAGGGCATCAGATATCTGTTTGGGTGTAAGGAAGTTCATGTGCAGAGGCTCAGAAGAGATATAAACTAAGGTGATGGTAAAACATCTCAAATCACTTCAGTGGGTGACTAAAGCAACCAGGCAGCCTTGGTGAAAGTATGAGTAATTTGCTGAAGTGTATTCACAGTGATCACGCTGTCATAAAAAAGCCGTAAATTTAAAGTGATGGAGTCGCAGCAGGAAGCAGCTTACTCTGACCTCGCATTCAACAACCCAAATAAAGTTATTAAGGCTACTTTTCAGAGCAAATAAAATATCCTGTGGGATTTTACATCATGATATATTGTTATTTTTTTAATTTTATTAGTTGAAAACATTCTGTGATTATCTTTCTTGTCTCTACAGTGAAAATTTGACATTTCCTGACAAATGCAGGCTTCTTCTATGTAAGTGGTGGGACACTGTGGCACCAGACTTTGCAAATGCCTTCTCTCAACACTGCGGCTGTTCCCACCTGTCACCACTAGAGGCTGACAAAGCTCTCAGATTGCTGAGTTCATCTGTGATTACTGGGTGCAGTGAGGGGACGGCTCACCTCCAGGTCGGGGTAGCTGAGCACCACGAGCTGGGCGCAGGCGTTGACGTCGTCCCCTTTGATGAAGGAAAGGTCCACTCCTCCGACCCTCTCCAGGCCCGAGAAGTCCGCACTCCTCTGCCAGTCCTCAGTGTCCTCCTCCACCACCTGCTGCCTGAGACGGGCCTGCTCACTGCACAGAGAACGGACTACTGAGACAATCACAGGACACAGGCAGGGACAAATACTCACATGAGAAATACTTGCCAGAAAACACTTCAAATGTAATCCAAATGCAAACAAAGGGGTCGCCCCCACCAAAAATAGTGACTGTCTGATTTTTTATTAAATGGACTTCAGTTAGACAACAACTAAATCCCAGTTTTAAATGCTTTACTAACAATGCTGCTTACTCCAAAATGTAATTTATTACTCATTACTCTTTTCAACAGTAATTATAATATAATTATATATAATAATTAGTAATAACTACTAATTATATTACTTTTCTGCCACTCCCCACAATATTGTTGATTGTGTCCTTTCTCGACCAAAATCAGACTTATGACAATTCAATTATGAGAAACACATTAAACAGATTTCTTTTACATAAACAAAAAAGCATTTAGTTTACATTCTATGTTGGGTTTTAAGGCTGGTCATAATGTTCTACAGCAGAATAACATTGCTAGCATTAGTGCTGGGCAATATACTGCTTTTAAGTTACCATATGATATGAGTGTTTCATATACTGTTGCTCAAACAACTGCTGTAGACAGTTCTGCAGTAGAACATCTGAGAAATATCTGTTTGAAAACTTAAATACTTTGAGTATTTTATGTTGGTTTATAGTGTTGAAATATTTTGTGATGTACTCCTGACCGGAGAATAAGACACTTCAAACCTTGTTTGTTTGTTTTGTTTTTCTTTGTCTTCCTGCTTTCTTTTTCTTTTATGTTTGTGCATTTTATCCATGTCTTCATGTCACTGTAATTCTGCTGTTGTTTTGTAAATTCTTTGGTTTGATCCACTTGTGTTTGAATAAAAAAGAAAAGAAAAAGACACTATAAACCTATATAAAGGCCCAGTGATGCAAAAGAAACAAACAAACATGATATACCATGAACCTACCGTGATACAAATTTTTACTTACCATCACAATATAATGTAGAGAAATAGGATTTGTTAAAAAGAATAAATGAAATGTGTGATTTGGCTCATAAAATGGCAGGAAAATGAGTTTGGTAGGTGGCTTTCATAGGTTGGTGCTTTTGCTGTGCTGGGGGAGTTCTTTCTACGACTGCAACTAACAATTATTAATTCATCTGCCAAAAATGTTCTCAATGAATCGTCTTTCTCTATAACATGTCGGCAGATAGTGGAAAATGTTGGTTTAAACATATACTCTACATCCTTATGTGTTACAACAGGAAGTACATAACATTGCAAGGACAAGTGGACCAGAATGCAGGGCTGCATTATTGATTCATCTGATGATCATTTCTTCAATTAAATGATTAGTTGTTTGGTCCATAAAATGTCCGACAATGATAAAAAATGTTTCCCAAAGCCCCAGGTGATGTCCTCAAATGTTGTTCTTGTTTTGTCTACAAGCCAGAGCTATACGGTTCACTGTCATAGAGGACCAAATAAACCAGTAAATACTCACATTTGAGAAGCTAAAATCAGAGAATTTGGACGGACTCCAAACGATTCATCGACCATTAAAATAGTTGCAGATTAATTTAATAGTAATTGATTATGTTTTAAATTATATAAAACAAAAATGCTGCAAAGCTGGAACCAGAGAATGTTTACTGCATGACTAACTGCTCCAGCTTTCACTGTGAACTTGTACAGTTTCATCTGCACACATTGCAGAAGCTACCGTACTTTATTCTGGGATTGGGAACTAGAATTTGTAGGTGGTGACAAGATGGGTTGAGACAACTTGTCTACACACACTGTCCTCAGCTGGATTTTTACAGCCCCAAAGCACACACACACACACAAATCTGAGCTGCAGCTGGAGATGGCAGGCGGCATGAGGACATAATATGGAATCATGGTGTCATCACTGGCCTTGCCATTACAAACTCACAAATCAATGGCTGCTGAGGACTGGTGGCGCCCATCCAGAGCTGCTGGCAGAGAGTTACAACAACACAGGGACACAGACAAGTGTGGCAACATCTGTCAGCACATTATGGAGCACTATGTGTGTTTACCAAGTGAATGATAACAAGTGGCTACACTGCACAGTCAGTCAACTGTACTGTATGTACTGTATGTAGTGTATGTAACGTTAGTACTGTATGTAGTGTATGTGTAGTGTACTGTAACCTGAGTGTAGGGTATGTAGTGTATGTGTATGTACTGTATGCAGTATGCAGTATGCAGTATGTAGTGTGTACTGTATGCAGTGTATGTTGTGTATGTAACGTTAGCACTGTATGTAGTTCAGTCGTATAAACGTAAGAACAGCACTCTGACCTCTCCCACCGCTTCACCAAGTCTTCTGCAGGAGCCGCGGACATGTTTGCCGCCAGTGGAGGATTTTTAATGAAGATCAACTGACAGACACATGAAGTAGTGAACACGAGCGCCACTGTTTTGCTTCCGTGTACAGACGTCACCGTGAGGGCGGAGCCTGCGTCTGGCGTCAGCACGGTGTTACGTGGGTAAACCCTGCCATCTAGTGGCGTAAATGACAAATTACACTGAAACATGTTATATTTTGTTCTACTGACAGTAAGTTATTAGTTATTCCATCTTTTTAGTAATAGTGGTAATAGTAGTAATTTTTTTGTGTAGTATCAAGCTTCATTTGTCCATTATATTCTCTGTTTAATGGAGTAGTCTGCAGAACAGGACACCTCAAATAGCACTAGTTTTGGGACACGCTTGTCACAGCCTCACAGCTTAAGGCAAAAAATAAAATGTATGACAGAGGTTGAGAGAAGAGACTCATACTGACATATCCAGTGATGACAGAAATAATATAAGACATAATCTGATAAGTAGAAGAAAAAGAGCAGTGACCACAAATGTACAGAGTGAGAATCATTCTTTCTCAGGAAACATCATGTCTGCAAATAAAGTGATAATAACGAGAAAACAGATGACCTGTAAACTCCACAGGAAGGAAAGGAAAGCGTAGTTGAATGTTTGAAAGTTAGGTTTTTGTCGAAAAAAGGAGGATGAGGGATCCATTACACTAGCAAGGCTCGTCAAAGGGCAGGTATGCTGAGAGAAATAAACACTGGAAGACAGGAATCAAGAGTAGACCGAGACTGATATGTCCACTGATGAGAATGATCCATCAGAGAGAAGAGATACTAGAAATGTCTGATGCAATCAGGTCTGATAAGACGTCTCAAGGTAAGACATGGACAGGAACAGATAGGACAATGTGACAGATAAAAAAAAGGAGAGGAAGCAGAGGCACATGGGAGCCTAATGGTCTAGGTGACACATAACTGTAATGGCTTCAGTTTGAGCCAAGCTGAGGACATTAGGTGCATGTCATTGTTCTCCCCACATTCCCTGCCTGTCTTGACACTATCGAATAAAGACACAAATGCTCAAAATATGGAAATATTCCTGTGACGTAAGGGGTACCCCAGGGCTCTGTTCTTTTTATATCACCTCTTAACCGATGATTGAGTTCATTTCTACTGCCAGCGTGGATGCTACTCAGCTGTATAATACATTTGTTAAGGAGCATCATCCTGTTGTAGAAGCCATCAGCTGTCTAGGTTTAACCGGCAGCACCTAAAAGGAAAATTCAGACAGAACCGCTATTTGCAATGAGGAGATTCAGGTCAGTGGGGACAGATTAACTTTATCGTTACTTAAGTCAGTGATGCAGCAAACACGAAACCCATTTTATTAATTAACAAATTATAAAAAATGTGAAAGGAGCCAGCGGCATAGTGATTACAAAACATAGGGAGACACATTAACATACTTTTCAGCAGGTAAAAAACAATGTGGACCATAAATACAAAAGTTTAGCAATAGAAGCATTTTCAAATTGAATCTTGGTGAATTAGAACTGAACATCAAATATATTATTTATTTTAGTTTTGGATCTGAATATGTGCTTAACTTCATGACATAAGCAAAAGAAGCAAAAACAGATGAAAACATAAATGAATCCGACACAAGTGCATGATTTTCTCATAATTCAAGTTTAATGTTTTCAAAAAAATGTAAAGGCGCCATAATCTCATTAATTCAAACATTTTTACATAATTCCTCACATCAAGGTAAAGAGAAGATATGCAACGATGTCAGAAAAGGAAGCAGAGACAGACAAATGCCTTGAACAGACGAGACAAACAGTTATAGCCCTCATTTGTCAATGAGATCTTGATGAGAAGTTTACACATAGTAAGAGCTAAAGTCAGAGAGGCAGGAAACAGCGGACCATGGAAGTGTTCTGGTATTTGTAACAGTGAATTTAAGCGGAAATGAAACAAAAACATCTGATCCGAGTACCCTTCTTTATGCCTATGGCTTCAACCAAGGTCCACTCTGCTTTCTAATATATACACAAGGAAAAGTGTTTGAAAGCAAAACAGCAAAACTGGAGTGTACAAGTGACAAAGAGTACATAGAGAGAAAGAGAGACAAAAGGAAGTATAAGAGTAGTTAGGTCTGGAACCAACGTTACCTGTTTCATCAGCTGAACCACTGCAGAAATGTAGGAATAACCAGGTGAAGGAAAGTTAGGCATGTGGTTCTAGACATGCTTCAGAAAGTGAGAAGAGGCCCAGTAGAGAAACAAGCCTGCCGCCGGGGGCCGAGCGGGTGTTTTTCACACATTTCACAGGCATATCTTTTATCCCCAGCGTTTCTAACACTCGTTCTTTTACACATCATATGCACTAAATAGCCCACAATCTGAGGAGGTCCTTTATCTCAGTAAAACATTTCACTTATTGCAGTTAATAACGTACAGTTACCACAAGTTAACCCTTGACCTCTCATTAATATTTTAAAAACAGTTTCATGTATCAAAAACAAGATGCAGGGCCAGTATTTTCAAGAGTCTGATTCACATATACGCAGAAAGCCTCTGTCTCATAGTCTTGTTTGCTGTCAGCTGCACTCAGTAACTATGTTTTACAACTGCACGCAACCACTCTTGGAAAAGGCGACCATTTTTGCCCTCTATAGGAAGTCATCAGTAAGTATTAACCAAATAAACCGTATTAGAAAACTGTTGCATGGATGTGTTGCATTTAGAAATGTTATATTTGATTCACAGTCGCTCATCTATTACAGTCGTGACCTCGAAAAAAGCAGGTAAGTTTATAAGTGATGCTTACGAAGGCTAAAATGGTATTTATTGACACAATGACTCTTAAAATGGCTATACCTTGATTTTTAAATAATAGATCTGTAAACCCAATCACCACATGAGCATGCAGTAACACACCACACTGCTTCACCCCATCAAGTACTCCTCTCCAAAAAACAACAGTAACAATCTCCAACCAACACTAGTACATGTACAGTATCAATATGTTGTCTACTGGTGCACCGTCAAATAATAATCACAAAGTATTAAATAACAAACATTCATCCCTAATGCACACGGAAATCTACATCACTCTGAAAAAGAAGCAGAGAATGATGGCAGTTCTGCCCAATTACATCACAAGCCTCCAAATTCAGGCATCTCATTGGTTGGCGAGCGCTAGCCAATCAGTAGCACATTCACAAATCAGCGACAAGGCATCTCCTTTACCACTTGATTTTGATTTGAGTTTCCTAGTCGTGCAGACGCTGCCTGGAAAGCAAACTAACTGCAGTCGTTCCAAAGAAAATAAAACAAGTCCAGGAGAAAATCTGGCAAGTTATTTGTGTTTTTCTCCTGGCAGAAATTGGTAACCGAGACAGGAAGTGATAATGTTGGTGCCACAGAATTTAGCTGTTTAACTGGCTCAGTTTGGCCGTCTGTCTGCCTGCACACGACTTATGACGAAAAGGTCATCCGCAATCAGCACCCATGATCCTCCTCATACATCTTAATGATAAATAGAAATATTTCGCACAGTAAAAAGTCAACTCGTGTTATTGCTTCTAGCGGATTACTTCGCTAAGACTCGGACCTGGGTCGAATATTCAAATGCTCTTCAAGGTGTGATAAAGCCCTCGTGAGACAGGCGGGTGGGGTTCGCCACATAAGACAACGACATGAATGACAGAAAAGGTCGCACAGCCACGGGAACGCATCTGAATGTTATTTTCCCCGTCGACCGGCAACTATTCTGTCACCATCTGCGTCGTCATGATTCCGTAAGCTCCGCCCACTCCGCAGCTCCATGCGGTTTGAAAACCAAATTATTTGCAGGTGATATTCGACTCAGGCCTAGTTAAGAGTGTGACCCGCACACACACACTTGACCTATAAACAATTCACCAGATTGAACAAACCCCTCTGGTAATATGGTAAACACTGTCAATTTTTGCATGTCGTCAAACGTCCGTGTGTGTGTGTGTGCGGTGGTGTTTGTATGTAACAGCACATCCAGTTTTTCAGCGAGCGCACAAGAATGAGGTATGCGTCGTCTCAGTGCTGAATATATGTGGGGATGTAAATGCATATATGTAACAGCGCTTCCAGTGTCTTCATCCGGTCCTGTAGCTTCCAGGATGAGAATATTGCTTCTTTCTGCTTCCAGTGCCACGAAGACACCGCAATTCATCTCCCGACCTTTAACCTTTCCCCCCTGCACGAGACACGACACAAACAAACATTCTGCTAATGTTCTGATTCAAACTGTCACCTAGCAGAGATGCCAGGCATGAAAAATATATGACCTTTGTGCAAAAATCAGCCCTTTAAATTGTACACTCAGTCTCTGTTTTTTCTTTTTGCCTCAGATTTTTTATAATTCTTTGTCTTCTGTTTGTGCTAGCATGCTTCAGTTCCATAGAGACTGGCTGTGCAATAGGAACAGAGTCCAAAGACGACGAGGAAGGAAAGGAAGAGAGTTGGCTTCAGTGTTGAAGGTAAGGGCAGTGGAGGGTGGGGGGACTGTGGGGATTTAAGTCAGCTTCCGGTTTCTACCTGGAGATCATCGAGCTGGACTGTGACTGGCTGGAGGAGGTGGTGGCAGCGCTGAGCTGAGAGAATCCGCTGTGGCTCGACTCCAGGCTGGTCATCGAACCCCTGAGGTGAGAGAGAGATCCAGAGAACACGTGAGCGGACACACACTTTACATGGACACAACACCAGAGCAACCACAGTCTGCCAGGGACTAACTGAATGCGTTCTGTGTGCACGGCTCGTGCTCATGATGCAGAACCATGCAGCCAGATCAAAAGTACAGGAGGAAGATCTATTCACTGTGTGTGGCACACAAGGCTCAGGCTCTGCCATAGGCCGCAACAAACCAACGGTGTAGAAAGGACATCAAAATTCCAAATTCTCTTCTTGTTCCAGTATTTTTCAAAAATACTGTGGGGGAAAGGGGTTTTGCTGAAGCTCAGGGTGTTTTGTTGAGGTGACAGCCTTTAGTGTAATGGCTTCCTTGAATGTTTGAAGGCTTAGCTGCCTATGGCAAAGTATGAAGCATTTTGTTCTTTTTGTGTCTTTCCTTAATTTTACATGACTAGGAGCATTGACATGTTTTTATCAATGTAGTATGTAGGCTTATCTGCTTATATAAAGACATTTTGTAGGGAATTAGATTTTTTTCAGTAATCCCATGTCTATGATGTATCATAATGCATGACAACACATGAATAGGGATGTTTTGTATCAAGTGGGTAAAAGGACAACCAAATATAAACATATTACTTTGTTCTTGTTTTGATTAACTGAGTTTGTGAATGAGCTTTAAAAAATGAATAAAGCGGAATTTATAATTTTGTAGATAAGCAAATGCACACGGTATGGGTTAACTGTCTTACCACCATCTGTATACCGGTGCAACCCTAGCAGGTACATTACAGACATGGCAAAAGAAAAGGGCTACCTAAATTTCATATTCTTAGTTCAGGTTGGTGTTTCAGATATTTAGAAATTTCAATGTGTCAGTCATTAGAAAAACATCCTGTGAACTGCAACTAGAATGAGTTAGATGGTGATTTCAATTCTGTTCAAATGAAACAGCAGGTGCATTGAAAGCGAAGTGAGATTCAGTGAGTTGGTAGTACAAATGGATGAGGGCAAAAAAACAAGTACAATGCCAGGAAATGTCACTGTAAGTAGCTAAACAAGTTCACGTGTTGGTCTATGTTGTGTGTGCACACTTATGTTTACAGCAGTTGAGCGCTAGTGTGCAGAAATTCTCCCAGCCTAGGATTCCTGAAATGATTAGTCATGCAAGCAGGGTGACTGAAGCCAGTCTCAGTGCAAAGATTCTTTCTTCAGTGTGAACAAAGCCACAGCACCCTGTGTGTAGTGCTAACAAAAGCCATAAGCAAGAACAGATGCAAAGGAGCATCTCTTTGCTGCATCTAAAGCGTGACATGTGCCATGAGAGTGGCCGTTCAAATTAGCAGCGATGGCGATGAGCTAGTGCTAAAAGGAAAAGGGGCAAACACTGAGCCACTTACAAACTCTGCACATCACAGCAAGCCGTTCTTCACAGGAAGAAGACAGAGCAGGAGGAGGAGGGGGTTGTGAGCGATAGAACAGGAGTGGATTGGACAGAAAAGGCTGGATTAAAGGAGTCTCCGAGGGAGGGAAGCATCCTCATTTCAAAACTGTGGGCCTACAAAACTCATGATGCTCTTAAGGCTCCTCGTAGTGTCATTTTAGCAACAATACAGACTTCATTCATTCAAATATCAAATGTCATACGTGGCACTATGTGGTAGGCTGTCGAGGGGGGAAACTGAAAGAAGGCAGGAGTGAAAAATGAGCAGTCATAAAGGAATAATGTTTGAAATTAAAACTATCACAACATCATGGTAAACACTTTAAAACAGCACATACACTTCACATATACAATACGGACACAGATGTATGTCTTTGCCTTTTACTCACACAAACACACACTCAAAAGCTACTAACCTGAAGTCCTCAGAGCCCAACACCTCGGTGTAGTACATGACTTTACACTTGTGCGAGGAGACCTGCAGGGTGGCCAGCACGTCGTCCACTCGGGGCAGGTTGGTGGCCGAGCAGGCCGGCATGTTGTGGAACTTCCACTGTAGTATGTAGAAACCTGGCCACCGCGTAATGTGGGAGCCCTGAGGAGAGGACAGATCAATAGTGCAGACAATGTCAAAGACTGACAAGCCAACACAAGACATAAAATAGATTTTAAAAACAATTCACGATCCGGGAACCTTACCTGCACACTCTCGCCTTCCTTGCAGGTAAGCGGGGACTCCACCATGCTGTAATCTTGCCCTAGCGTCCAGGACTTGTCGATGAGCTGGACGTTGTTGCCTCCTGGGGATGTGATGCCGTGGGCTCCCAGGGCGTCTTTCCGTGGAGGCTGGGGGGCCCGCTTGGAGTGGTAGATGTTGAACACCACGTCGCCCTTGCACATGTCAAAGTCCCAGGTGATGACTGAGGAGGCGTCAATGATCTCAATCAGAACCTGGTTGGGGGAGAGAGGAGGGAGGGCAGACAGACATAAGAAACTGGAATTAAAGAGAGGTTTCAGGAGAGAAACATGAAAACATTTTACCTCACACTTAAGTTCTTATTTCTTTACACACAGCCATTCTTAGTTAAAAGGAATACTGCCAGAGCACTATTACCATTACTATTACATTACTACAGTGGTGTACTTATAACTCATACTCCTATATTCATTTTAGGTTGCTCCATATTTAAGCACCTGCTAAATGTGGCAAATCAGTTACACAGAGCAGTGAGAGATCAGAATCTGTTTGTGAGGTTATGAGCTCATAAACATGAAATCAAAACCATTTCCAGGAGGGCGATTATGTATGACGATGCATCTCCGCCTGTGATATAAGTAATGTAACACGACAGATGCACTGCAAACAGATTATGCTCAAAAAGCCATGTCACATTTGTTCCACATCTGAATTCAAAAACCGCACAGAAGTTATCTACCACACATGACCACTAGATGGCAGAGGTTTCAACAAAACTTCCATCAGAGACATCCTGCAGCTCTCTGTTGTGCTGCCCTACATATTCATTTAAAAACACCACCACAGGCTTTCCATCTTTTCTTCCCACTCTGGTGCTCAATGTTGTCAGCCTTACCTCGTGTGGAGCCCCCTTAAAGACGCTGGCGCTTTGGTAGATGGTCTCGGTCCACAGGCGGACGTCTTCATTCTCGAGTTCCTCGGCTGTGCGGTACATCGACTTGGGAACTAGGCCGCCTTCTGGTACCTCACACTGCAGAGGAAAAGCACGCATGTACAAACACACACATAGAAAATATAGAACTGGGTGAGTAAAGTCAATGTGACATGTCTGAAGTTACATTGAAAGTTCGCATTTAAGGTTACCTCATATCCTCAAATGTTAACCTGAGAGTTTAAATCTTCTTTAGACACTCACCATACACTCTCCTCCCAGGAAGTCAGGGATGATCTCCTTGTCTATGTAGTCCACCAGGCCTCCAGGACCCTGGTAGTCATTGCCTGCATAGATGAGGAACTTCTTGCGGGTGTTTTCATCAATGAACGGACTCACCTAAGGGGAAGAAGCAGATGTTGAGTAGTTGGAAATAACAGAATGTATGTGATTGGTGGTGGTTGTACACTAAGTTACTAGTTTGTAAATCTTGATGTTTGTTACCAGGAACATTTTCAGTCTAACCTATTTTTAAGAATATAGTTTGTATATATCATATTTTCTCTCGATGTAAGAACATATGGGTGGACCACACACTAGAAACACCTTTCAAATCTATAAAAAGTGGTACTGTAAGAAGACTAATTATCCCTCCCCAGGTTCTCACCAGTGTCCAGAGGACAGGGAAAACTCTTGGAGCTCTCAAGATAAGCAGCCGTCCCAGCGTCTCTGGGTAGTTGGCTTCCACAACCTCAATGATTCTCAGCAGTGCTTTGACGCCTGGTCGCCACAGGTGACGCATGTTCAGCCCCTCCAGATCTACCAGACACGTCCAACAGCTACAGAAGAGGAAGATAGAGGATTAACGTGTGGATAAATGTGTGTCACGAACACACACAACTGGGCTAAAGCCTCTTTCCGACCACTTAGCACCTGTCATCCTGGAGTGAAGCTTAAGTGGTGAAGGCAACGCTTGCTAATTCTGGACCCCCTCCACATCCTCCCTTTCTCTCTATCTGTTCTGGCTGAAGGCTGTGACGTGACAGGCCTTTCATAGTTCACATGCCTTCCTGCGTGGCTCCTATCCCAGCCACCTCCTCCTGTTTTTGAGAGGGCTGACAGATGACAGATACCATCTCCGTTCCCTCCCCCTCACTCTCTCCATCGCCATCTGAATCAGTGCAGCTCTGGGAAGAGCCTCCTGCATTCTTTTTCATTTTTGGACAGATAACGCTCCTCTGGACTCCCTCACACTGTGTGTCTCTGTGTGTGCACCTGTTTCCAGGCTACAACTGCTGAACTCAATCCAGCTAGCTGAATGCTCCCTGGTAGTGAAAAAAAGCTTAATGCTCTTTTCTACAACAACATTTAAAGCTTTTACTATATTTTTACTGAGAAATTAGTACTGATCTAGGGCTGCAACTGAACATTATTTCATTGATATTTATTATTGTTGAATAAATCAGGATGGTGAACTCTTTATTCTGTATATTCTCTACATATGCACAGCTTTAAGAGTATACCACCCTATATTTCAATGCACATGTTGTATGGGCATGTGGAAAAAAACCTTTGAATACTGAATTAAGTTTAGTTTATAAAATTTCCGAAAATAGTGAAAAATGCAGTCTGAAAATGAGATATAGGATATTCAGTTCAACAGAGAAAAAAAGCAAATGCACTAATTAGAGAATATGGAACTGGAGACTTAGCATTTTTGCTTGATAAACGATTAAACTAAATTGTAAAAATCAATGTAGCTTAAAACAATTATCATAACATAATTCTTATTAATCAGAGGGTTTACCTGATGGGTCGACCAAACACCTTGGTGTTCTCCTCACAGCGTCTCAGACCCTCCTCATTAATAGAAAGCACCTAAAATGACACAACATGAACTCAGTGGTCTGTTGCAATCTTACATTCCAAGCATTTAGCTGACACACAAGGCTATGTACACTGTACTATATACAACACTTACTGACCTATAATCCAACCATCAACTGGCTGACCTATAAACTTATCAAACTACACTGATACATGCCAGGTGGAAGTGTGTTGTGCTACATACGTGTCTCAGCAGAGACTCCTCTCCAAGAGCACGGACCAGTCCTTTGGTGTCCATCTGGCCCAACCTCAGGATGTACAAAGGACGGCCATCTAGAAGAATAAAACAAATATTTACATGATCTATCACACTATTTACATTCTGGAAGGCTTCATATTCTGTTCTCCTATTGTGTAAGACCATAAGTGGCTGTGTACACTGAAAAATGCTTTCATGTTTTGTCCCATGTTTTGTCCCTGTTGATCCCATATAAATACTTGTGAAAAGATTAAAATGAGAAGATAAACGGTTTATTGATGTGGGAACACAAAAGTCATTTAAATTTGATTTAAATTGTCAACAGTCACCCTCTGTTCTAAAATAAAAGAATGTGACCATTTGTGAGTGTGTGTAAGCTATTTGGGCAAGCACGTAGTGCTGACAAATTGGCCTCATGTTTAATTCACTTGCATGGCTGAAGGCTGTGGGTTGCTAAGAATGACTTCAGTTCATGAGTGAGTGTGTGTGTGTAACTTGAGTCTGGAGAAACTGGAGAACTGAGCTCTTCCTCTAGTTAACAGTGCAAGTATAGCCAGCTTCAACAAGGCCAACATAACGTACATACATACATACATACATACATACATACATACATGTATGTGTGTTTCGTATGAATGGCCACGTGAGATTGTAGTATGTTTAAACTGTCTTTGAGTATGGCTGTTCATTTGTTTGTTCCTCACATGGAATGAACACACTTGTTTCCTCTGTCAGGACCTACCTCTGTCATGGTGGTGCCAGCCTCCGGTGTAGTAGTCCTGGAGAACCTGTGGTGAGCTCCAGGTCTCCAGCAGGTAGTCCACCTGGTGCTGCTTCCTCCAGGTCAGCGACTGGCAAAGGATCTCCCGCGCCTTGTCCATGTTGAAGTCCCTGGCGCGCAAGAAACGCAGTATGTGCTCGTCCTTCGGGATCTGGACAGTAAGTAATACAACAAAAGAAAAAATCTTTAACACTGCCAGTGTCACTGTTACATAGATCATTGTTATCTCAAAACATGGCAGGTCAGTTCGCCATATCAGCATGTAAACAACAACTTAAAGTATGACTCAAAATCTACGACAAATCTCCAAATAAAATAAATAAATTGATAAATTCAAATTGTTCATCATACCTACAAAAATCTATTCTATTTCACTCCATTATTACAAAAACAGTAAAACAGAACATTACCTTTCCCTTGTGCGTCTCCTGCAGCCATTTGCGAAGTCTGATTAGACAGCTCTCCTGCAGAGGGGTCAGGTCGCCTAGGTAACGTTTGATATAGTCTGCATCCAACTTATCTGCAATACAAAAATAGAACTAATAGAATTAACATAATTTAGTCAAACACAAGGTAAACTGATTTTAGTGGAAGTTAATGTATAAATTAATATGTGCTTCAGACCCTTAATGAAACCAAAGCCCCATATGTTGTCATTCCTGTGTCAATTCAAGATATACTCAAAATCACTTTAACCATCTTTTATAGAATAACTTAAATAACGAAACGAGGCATTACTTCCATTGGTTTTTCTGTAAAACACACATTTTCTACTCTGTATTCTACTGTAACGTTAACAGTGCTACTTCAGCGTTTGCACGATTTTCAGATTTTGTGGAAAAACTGCTGGTTTTTCATTTTTCAATAATCTGTAGGAACAGACCTTCAGGTGTTCCAGCCAGGATCTCTGTTAGGCTGTCTGCCTGAAGTGCGCTGCTGTCCTGCTTTGTGTCCTGAGAGATGCTGTCATTGGCGTCGGTGGCCAGCGGGATAGAAACGGCGGGTGTGACTGCGAGTTTGGGGACAACTGGTGGGCTGGTGGAGAGGCTGGTTGGCCTGGGAAGAGGCAGGGGAACGGAGGACGGAGTCCAGCGCGGCACATGAGTCATCCCTTCATCTTCTAGCTCCTTCAGGTAGAACTCAATGATTTCTTTTCCCTGTGAGGAACAGAAGTGTACAAGAATCAGAATTATGGCAAAGTAGCAGAAGAGGCTCTGAATTCAAGAAAATCTGATTTAGGAGGAATATGGACTAAACACCAACAATACTCATGATACTATATGTTCACAAAGCTTATTCAAACCAGACAAGACATTTCCATTTAGTATTTCAAACTGAAGTGTCGTGTAATGGAAACCAAAAGGAATGCATTCAACATTGCCCACATCTATTCTAAATGAAGGCCGGTGACTCACTGGGTCCACAGTAGAAGACCCCTGTCCACTTATTTATACAATATATACAAGCTTATTTATGCAATTACAGTATGAGACGGGCTGACTGACTCATGCTCCAGAAACCTCCTTACACCAAACATCATGGAATAGATTAATATCCTGCATAATCCATAGCACCCATTATGCTGCAATCTGCAACTATTCATCTGCTGTGTGCATACACAAAGTACAAAGAACCCACGTAACACACACACATACACACACACACACCTTTTTGATACTGCTGGCATACTGTTTCATAGCAATCTTTTCCACAGTGCTCTCAAAGCCAAAGAAAGATTTGATGTCCAGGCTGGCGGTCTGCTCAAAACACGTCCAGTCCTCATTTTCCGGGTGAACCTGTACCAACACACACAAACACTTGCTGTATAATATACTGTATACACATGCAGAAACAAGATGACCAGGTTACTATGGTAACCACACACCCAGCTTCACTAGATGGTGACGCAGGCAGAGAGCAATTTTCACACTGTGCACTATGAGGGGGAGATTGTGTGTCAGTCTGTCCAGATAAAATTAGCCAGCTCTTCACACACAGTTTGGAGCTAAAAGAGGACAGAATGCAAACATACAAGGACACACATGTTTCTGGTGTTTGGTGTAAAGGTTATGAGATGCTATGTTAAATAAACAAACAAATTAGAGCCGTGTATTGGCAAGAATCTGGTGATACGATACATACCATGATATACAGGGGTTATGATTTACTGTAAGCGATACTGTTAGCTAGGCAAAATATTGCCATTTAAAAAAAATCAAATTTTATGAAAACTGTCATAGTATAAAGAGCACAATATGTATACAATCTGAGTAAAAACATTTTTTATATAACTATTTTATGCAACCAGAACAGTGGGATCTGCATTCGTATTTGTCCCTGTAGCATCTAAAATCATAGGCCTCAGCTCACGTGTACATCACTAATATCTAGCAGTTAGGGGTTCAAACAAAAAAAAAAAATAGAGAGCATCTTTGAAAATCAGTACAATATCACAGTATAATAGTATTGAGATACAATATTTTTTTATATTACACCCCTAGCTAAAATAAAGCAGATCAAAATTCACTTTTTAACACCAGGGTTGGCAAAATGCACAAATTGACTGAACTCTGACAGTAACAAATCTGTTATCTCTCCTCTCTTATTAGCGAAGAGCAGTTCAGGTAACAGCTTCTAATTTTTAGCTTGTACTGACCATTGCTTCCGTCAGCTAAAATGACAAGCGGCTGCAGGGGAAGATCATATCAGCTGTCGCTAATCAACTTTAAATCCGTGAGGAACTTGATGTCAAGCCAAAATTAAATTCATCTGTTGTGGGATTGTGGGCTCTTTGCAGCCGGTGACTGTGCGCTCTCAGATTGTTATGAGGTATAATGAGTATCGCTCTGTAACACCACAGTACAACCGTAAGAGGAATTTTTGTACTTTAACAAGTGATAGGTCCTTTCTCTAGTGGATAGCTTCATGGTAATTTCATTTCAGCATTTCACATTCTAACTAAACTTTTATTCATACCATATCAATAATTTAAGTCAACTTATAGTTTTGAATCAGGATCAGTGTTTTGACTGAGGAAAGGTTCAAATAATGTGCGTCAGACTTAGTAGGTTACACCTTTAATTTCAATATATGAGTTTAATCACTTTAGGTAATATAAGTATCTTGATCAGACCAATTTTCGAACAGATACCAAATATTAAAACGGACTTGACTTGAGATCGGGCCAAAAAACTTGAACAGGACATCGCTAATATTTTAATAACAAATTGTTAAACTGCATTTTGATTCAGGCTATAACATCATTAAATTAGGAAAGAAGTCAAGAGTTTAATGCTATCTGAAAGTACTGTGCTGGTAGCTTCATTACCCATGGCTACCAAAACATTTCAGCTTTAGCCAGGTCCATTAGCTGTGTCTAATTGAGCTGTCCGTCCTGGTTACTGTTAGCACAGTGTGCTAAAGCACACAATAAAAACCTCTGTGCAGCCTTGGTCCTAAAATTAGCTCTGTGGTTGGTTGGAGGCTAATACGATGTGCTTGACCTCATTAACTCAGAGCGCATCCATTCATGAATATGCAGATCTGAAGTCAGAGTTAAGCACAGTGGGTCAGGCAGAAAAGGGAAGACATGCTGGTTTCAGATCAGTATTTGAGAGTGTTCGGCCAGAATGTGCGAGGACTGAATAATTCACAGACAGAGATGGGCTAAGATAGCTAGCAACATTCTCCGTGCTAGTCTAAACATGGCTTTCTCTGCAGGGAAGCAGGGAGGAGATTAGAGGAGGCACAAACATTAACATGGGTGTGCCGTTCGGCAGCTGAACAGCTTTACAGACTGTGTCTGTGTTCGCTCATTTGTCTGTGAGAATATAGATGTGTGGTTCTGTGCAACTTAATGGGTTGAGCACATCATAAAACGGCCAGGGTCAGGGTTTGATTTTCCCTCTAGAGCCATCTACAAATATACATGTTATAGGCTGCTTTTGGACAACAGCCCACGCTAAATGGCACAAGAGTGTGTGTATGCTACTGACCGAATAGCAGCAGGTCTCATGGATGATGACCCTGTTGGAGAAGGTCTCATTATGGGACTCGATGTGAAGTGTCCTCTCCTTTCGGTTCAGTGTGTTTTTCTGGATGAAGTAGACATAGTCCACACCTGCAATCTGCAAACCACACACACAAAAACTCATCTTACGAAAATCCGAACTGACACAAGACACCAAAATCAAACTTAAGGTTGCAGCTTTATAAACCACTGTAGAGCTACGTTTTAACACACTCAAATGCCACATACCCGTTTGAGCAGGCGCGGGGCGTCAACATCCAGGGCACAGCGGCGCTCAACCCTTTGGGTGGAACCATCCTCGCTGGTCTCCTCATCCACTACGTCACTCGCCACAAACATGGGGATAAGGTGACAGGTGGGGAACCGGCGCTCATAGGCCTGAAAGAGGAAGGTGGACCAGAATGTCACCTAATACAGTGGTTTTCCATCTGGGATGATATCTTTTAGGTTTCAAGTTTCACTCTAACAAATGAAAGGAGGAAAAGAATAGAGGTTTCACTAGCTGCATTGTCATTAATCTCTCTACAACAAAACTCTCTCTCTTTAGTGTATTAATGAAGGTAGTTGAACAGGTTTTAGATGAAGCAAGAGACAACACTTTACGTAATTGGAATATCTGTCAAAAATTTTTAAAATGCCAACTGATTTTTATTTTTATTTTTTTAGCCCTAGTAGGGCTCTGATATTTTCAGCATTTGGAAACAATTTTATTTAGAAAGGCTATGCTGATGTTAATTTGAATAAATATAATTGAAAGGCTCAGGATAAATAGAGCTTAAAATACCACACAGCAACAATGGAGCCTGTAATGCCAGCTTATATAAAACTCATCAGAATAAAGTTCACAAATGTATTAGGAATGCAAGTATTGAGCTAAGAGGGACTAAAGAATCTGAATAGGTGGGTAGGGAATGCAGCAAACAAGTGAGGCCGAACAAAAGCTCCTTCAACTTTGCACTGTTGCAAACTTCTCACTCCGGCTAAACCTCAGAAAAAACGGCCTAGACTCCAATAAAGCCCTTTTAATTCCTTTACAAAAAAATGGCTTGATGCACAATAAGATTTGCTGTGCCCAAGGGCAACACCGTGTCTCCTAATTATGTGTTCTCATAAATGCAAAACACTGGCAAACTCAGCTCTTGTGCAGAGACCAGCCAACTGTTATGCAACTGGACCTTGACTGGCAGAGTGTCATCAGCAGCACCCATTTCTTCCTGTTCTCGAACGCCACCACTCCCTCATCTTGGATCTGATTGCGGTGGTTGCAAGAGTGGTAAGACTAAAACACCAGACTAGACACTAGACTATCAACAACAAACTGAGTGATTCACGATAACGTGTGCTAGAGATGGCCAAAGATAGTCATAACACTGAGCTGGTCTGAGACGCTTGTATCCTTGCTCCGTAACAGCATATTTCCTCATTCTTAATCTATGAGTGAATGATGATTAAAAAAAGGATCAGGGAAGTAGGGATGTAATGATACACTCAAATTAAAATTTGATACAGTCCCTGAAGTTGCATATCTACTTCATCATCAGGGAAATATACTGGAAACATACAGTAACCCTGAAATAGCAGCGCCTGAAAGACGAGGGCAGAGACTGACGGAGCGAGTGTTGTTCACTAGACTTTAGGGGTCTTAGGGCTTAGTTAGTGTCAGCTGAGTCTTCTGATAACAGAGCTTTATTCTGTGAAGCATAGGGCAACCAGCGTGTCTTTGAGCTTCTGTGAAAACCTGAAATCTTAAAATTTAACAACGCTGAACTAAAAGTGCAAGTTTTAGTCTATGTGCATTGAACAGTCAATAAACTGTACATTTCTCATCTTTAAGGAAACACAAGAGCAGGTTTCGACTGTTGAGTATGTTGGTCAGCAGCAGCAGCCGTTGGTTTGTGTCTAAGTAGGCAGTCAGTAGGGTTCAGCAGCTCCTGGCATACCGCTGCCAGGGCTACTGAGCCACCCAGCTGCCCACTGTCCAGTGACTGAGTGAATGCTGAGCTCTGTTTTTCTACCCTGATGCTCTGGAACACTGGCCGCAGGCTTTGTACTGCCGTCAGCACAACAGCACTGACGGTAAACATCAGTTTCACCCATTAAAAACAGCCATACGTCAACAACAAACTAAACCACAAATGCTGCGTGTCGCCAAAAACACCACTACTTTTCAATCAAACAATGGCCTACATATACTGTACAAAAACATCGGGTTACGTTATTATTATTATTATTATTATTATTATTGAGATAGTTAACCACTAAGAGGAACAAAAAACATCAATCAGAGCCTTGTTCTGCTTCATGAAAAAATGAACAAAAAGGCCAACGTTTGGCTGCCTTTGTGTACTGAAAATAGCCCGGTTGTTTTAGTGTTAAAAACAGGAAACAAGAAGGTCACGATACCGGGGTTAATTCTCAGAAAGGGAATGTAAGGGCATACTGCTAGGCTACATGGGTTCAAAATACACAGAGACCCAATCTGGTCACATCTAACAGACTTCTGTACTACATATAATACTAATAAGGACAGTGAACTGCTAGAATTGAAAATTTACTTACACTACTTACACTAATTGTGTTACCTCAATCTCGGAATAAAACTAATAACTACACTGAGCAATTGGTGTACAAAGTGCTGGATTACAAGTAATGTCTCACATTCATTTCTTCAACCCTTCAACCTAAAGCATTTGCTGCACAGTTTTCATAAGAACCTGTTTTAGTCAACAAACTTTGACACCAAGTCCATCCCGGATCTGTCAACTCACCTCCAACAGGATCTAGTCATCACGCTCTATTAAAGCCTCCTTCAGACACACGTCATGTTTTATGTAGTGTTCTGCAGGCATGACTCAAAATACACAGCTAAACGCGAGTACAATAACACACCACAGTCGATATTCAGGTCATTTGGCATTTATCCACGTAATTACTCAAGTCTATACTAACCTACAATCTGATGTTGCAAATAGTTTGGAAGAGTATTCAACTAAAACATCACTTGGGGTATGGGATGCAGCCACAGAACCTGCTGATGAATCTATTGAATTCAACAATAGATAATGGAGTCAACATTTCCAGATAATGATGAAAATAAACAAAAAACTATAGCTTAATACTAACAATGCTGTATACTTGACACCTTTGATTCACTTAATTCAACATCCAAACCAGATTTTCCCTGGAACTTCTCAGTAAGAAGCCAAAGCAGCAGTTTCATGACAAACATCCACCTGCCCTGTGGTCAGTCTCTGGGATGAAGAGCAGGCATTGATGACACATCAAAGCAAACGGACGTGGTAACCAAACTCCACCACAGTGAATATGCATTGGTCCTTGCCCTCAACTCTTTCCTAGAACGCTACAGCACACTAAGACGAAACCAAATCCATCCAAATTTCCAGGCTAGCTGTGCATGTGTAAGAAAGCCTGCTAGAACATCGTCCTCCAGTCTCCATGGTGACAGGATATGTCCGGACACACCTCAACTAGCCAAGCCATGAGTAATGTTTCCTGGAATGTGTGTGTGCTTTCCAGGGGCACATGAGAGAAAATATAAAAAAACAATACATGGTTACTTAATTCCTTCCTGCATACACAAAACAACAACAGGCAGTGTGAATAGGGGCATGGGTATGGAAAACAAGACCTATTTTGCTCAGGAAGGGAGATTCGAGGAAATCCAGGAGTTCCGAGGGGATACATAACACATTTCAAGACTACAAAGGGCTGCGTGGTGCATGTATACGTGTAGAACGTACTACCAGGAAAGAAAACAAGAGTGCTGGCAGGCAGCCCGGCCATTATCTGGCTGGAACGTATGGCATAAAAAAACAAACTTAAATATAGCTGCAAGCACGACACAAACAAAAACAGGAAAAAGAGCTCCCTAGCACATACCAGTTTTTCCCTTAAGTAAAGTTTGAGTGCCATACCCCTGCAGTTATCACAATTTAAGCTTCAGCAAATTAAGCACCTGACAATTCAAGCGCAGCTGAAATTTTAGTCGATTAATTTATTAGTTGACTGAAATGAATCTGAAACTATCTTGATAATTAACATTTCAAACATTTTAATAAAAGAAATGCCAAACATTTTCAACTGTGTGGACTTGCTGCTTTTCTCTGTTTTATATCACTGAAAGCATCAGTTGTCAAACTTTTTCTGGCTTCAGAAGCCGAGAAAGTTCACGCCCACCCCACAAGGATCCAAGTCATCCAGTAGTGGCTCTATACCCTCTGAGAGGGGCCCACCCTGCAGTTTGACAAACACTGCTGTAAAGAGAATACCTTTGGGTTTGAGAGTGTTGGTCGCCCTGGCTCTGGGGAACTGCAATGGGAATTTGTTCCTAATTTTGATGTTTAATAGACCACCTAATTAATCAAGGAAATGTGACAATAATCATTAGTTGCAGCCTAAAATGAAGGTAGATCATCACATTGACTCCAATCCTGTCATAAAACAGTGTGAGCTTCTTGTTTTGCAAAGAATACGGAAGGGAAAGACAGCCCGGGATAAACAGTAAAAAAAACTGATATTGTCTCACAGTATGTTTCGTTAAATTGCCCTACCATAATGTTGCATCAATTATTTTCATACCATTAATACCAAAACAACCACAAAAATGAGCAGGTAGGAGTTTGCAGTGGGTGTGTCACAGGTTGACCTGGTTTTCCTTTTGAGGATTCATAGACAAACCGATCTAGTGTCGAGTAGCAGTATCACTTTATTCGCCAACTATAATGAACGTGCTGTAACACTTGCTGCTAACAATGGTGCTGGGTCATATTGATAGCCACAACACAGTAACAAGAAATAAGAAAAAACATAGCAACAGGTCGGATCGCTGTTCACTATAAGTAAGGGGAGCCGTAAATAGCAAAGGACATGACCTGACTTGATGGTAAAGGATTTGGTTCATCAAGTTTTATACAACCTTCACATATTTCAATTACACAGCCAAAAACAAAATGCCATAAGCACACAAGTCTTCTTTATTTTTGTAAGACAAGACCATTCTCCCGTGCTAGACTTTAGTTCAACTTCTCAGGTATGTTAGATAATGCTATTTGCTTATCTAGTCAATTCTGAAAGTGAGATGAGGACCAATTTGCTATGGGTATGGCTTGTCTCGTAGGTCTCCTGGGACCAGCACTCTGACCGCAGAACACTTCCAACTTCCTCGGCAGCAGTGTCGCATCTCTGGAGCTTATGAAAACGGTTGTGTAATAGAGACAACAGCCGTCCAGAGGTCAGCCTCTGCTATTTTTATCAGCTAGATTTTCTGGCGGATGGGAAAAATGGGAACATTTTGGTCGAGGGCACTTTTAAGATTAAGATACTAGATGAGGAAGCTTAGAGATGATGTGAAAACATAC